ACTGATTTCCACGGTGGTTGTACCAGTCTGCACTCCCCCCAACAGTGGAGAGGAGTTCTTTTTTCCCCAGAGGCCCCTTCAGCATTTGTTATTGGTCTCTTTCTTTCTCTCTCTCTCTCTTTTGATCGAACTCAGGACCTTGTGCTTGCCAGGCAGGCAGGCACGTTGCCACTGAGCTAAATCTATGTCCCTATTGGTTGATTTCTTCATAGCAGCCATTCTTTCTGGAGTGAAGTCGAATCTCTGGGTTGTTTTAATTTGGACTTCACAAATGACCGGTGATGTTGAACATTTTTTCATATATTTATTTGCTGTTTCTACTTCATCTGAGAGGTATCTTTTCATTTCACATACTTGGGTTTTTTTTTTTGTGGTACCGGGGATCGAACTCCGGTCCTTGAGCTTGCGCAGCAGGCGGCAAACCACTGAACTAAATCCCCGGCCCCGAGATACTTGTTTTTTTATTGGGTCTTTAAATTTGGGGGGGGGGGTCTGATTTTTGAGCTGTTTATATATTCTAGATATTAGTCCTTTCTCTGATGAATAGCTGGTGAAAAAAAAAAAAATCCCAAACTGTTGGCTGTCTCTTCACTGTTGGTAGTTTCTCTTGCTGTGCGAAAGCTTTTTTTTTTTTTTTTGGTACCAGGGATCGCACTCGGGACCTTGCGGTTGCGAGGCAGGGAGCGGAACCACTGAGCTAGATCCCCGGTCCAAGTTCTTTGCTTTTTGAGACAGGGTCTCACTATATAGTCCAAGCTGGCCTGGAACTCGCAGCCACCCTACCCTCCTGCCTCGGCCTCCTGAGCGCTGGGCTTACAGATGTCGGCCACCACAACTGCCACGCCAGGCCCCAGACTCCTTTTTATAAATCGGTGTCAGGTTCCTGGCTTCTCCCCCATCATTTTCCCTCGCACAGCCACCAGCAACGCCTCACATTCATTTTCTTCCCAAAGAAGAAGCAGCAGGAAAATGGGAGTACACTCCATTTTATTACGGAAAGTTAACAAAGAAACAAAATGGGCAGTGGATGCCAGAGCGGAGGGAGAGGAAGCAGCTGCCTCCTCGGGCCCGCGCCGCTGCAGTTCAGGTGTGGACCACTAGGAGGAGCACAATTAACTCACGGGGCAGAGTGGAGGCCCAGCCTTCCCTTTGGGGAAACCGAGGCACAGTAATACTGAGCAAAGCTGGCGGCAGCCACCGTTTCGGGTCACCCTCAGTGAGGCAAACTGAAGGGGCCGGGGCGGCTTCCTCGTGCACAGGGCACGGCATGTAAACCTGGACGGGCAGCTGGGCCGGGGGGGAGCGACCTGTAAACGCACGCGGGCCTCGGCTCTGCCGCCCGCCTGACGTCGCCTCGCCCAGCCTCGTGCGAGCTCCTCTCCAGGCCGGCTCTGTCTTCAGCCTTGCGGAGGAGGAAGTCCCCATGCGCGCTGGGAGCGGTCACCGCCGGCAGGACTCGTCTGCAGGAGCGGGGAATTGGGCAGTGAGCGAGGCCCCGCAACCCCTTCCCGGCCGCCCCTCCTGGAAGATGGGTGCGTCCAGCGGCCCTATCGCATCACTAAGGGCAACCATCGCTGCCTTGCGCTCCGCCCTGGGCATTTTTCTGTGACCGACTGACTGAGACAGGGTCTCTGTGGAGCCCGGGCTGCCCTCAAACCCAGTGACTCTCCTGCCTCAGCCTCCCGAGTGCCGGGATTACAGGTGTGCACCACTTCACCTGGTTGACACCTTCGAATACCTTGACTAATCTCAGAACGGCCCCGGGAGAGTTAAGTAATGTGATGGCTAGCTACTGTCCCACGTTCTCTCCAAACGTTATTCCATCCTGCCGGGCGGGTGGTGCCTATTGTGGTCCCAGCAGCCGGAGCCCAGCCGGCGGCAGCAGCCCTTCCGCACTCTCCACCTGCAGCCAGTGCTGACTCTGGCAGCGCTGGGCGCGCGCTCCCCGCCCAGCCCGGGACGCCGAGAGCCCGGCGGGCTCCCCTCCCAGGGCCTCAGTTTCCCCAGCTGCAGGTCCGCCCGCGCGACACCAGGGGGCGCCCTCGCTCACCCACGAGCAGGGCCTTAGTGCGCAGCCCGCCCCGCAGCCCTGGCTGCAGCAGCAGCAGCTCCTCCTCCTCCTCGTCCTCGTCGTCGTCAGGCTGCGCTGCTGGGGCGCTGGGCGCACTGGGGGCCTCGGGCTCCGGGCCCAGGTCCTCCAGCACCGAGCTCTCGGAAGGGTACTGGAAGGTGGTCTCCAGGGCCGTCTCGCTGAAGGAGATCTTGAGCTGCCAGGGCGGAGAGGGGAGGAGGCGAGCTCAGCAGCAGGAAGCCGCAGGGCGCTCCCGGGTGGACGCTGGTCGGGGCCGGCAACCCTGTGGCCTCCCCTCCCGTCTGTTCTGGGATCCGGCTTTGCTTTCCAGGCCTAGATTTTCTCTCTCAAAATCATTCAGAGGCCGTGTGGTGGCGCACGCCTGTGATCCCAGCACTCCAGAGGCCGAGGCAGGAGGATTGCCAGGAGCTCAAAGCCAGCCTGGGCTACATAGTGAGCTCAGGGCCAGCCCAAATGATACAGCGAGACCCTGTCTCAAAAAAATAAGCCAAAGCAAATGAACAACTTTTGGGGACCTTGGGGCTTCCCAGAGGGGAGGAGGAAGGAGCTGTCTGGGGAGCGCAGTCCTGGCCTCCCCTTGGACACCCGCCTGTCCCTGCCCCTTTGCCTTCCTCCTGTGGTGGGGTCAGCCCTGCAGCTGAGGGGTCAAGGCCTAGGAATCGATAGGAGGCCCGCAGGCCCCTGGAGCCCACACTTCCTGCCCCACTGCACAGGGATGAAGAGGAGCCCAGGTCCCTAAGGGTGCGCTGGGCGGTGGGGGACAGGGACGAGCAGGCACAGAGGGACCCTTCAGACACCAAGCCCTGCCCCTGCCAGCTGCAGCCCAGTGTCTCTCATGTCCTGTCCTCCCCTCTGCCCTCTTGGGGAGCTCAGGCAGGGCCAGAGCAGGATTAGCTCAGAGCCAGGGGATTAGGGACAGACAGGACGCTGCGGATGCTCCACAGTCTGCCCAGGCCTTCCTGGCATCTCCTGGGAGATGGGGCCCTGGGTGCTGGAGCCTGGCATGAGCTGGACTGGGACTGAGACTGCACAGGCCCAGCACTGCCAGGCGCCAAGGCCTGCAGAGCACTGGACCCTGGCCTCCTGCACCACGCCAGCGATGCCACCCAGCCTGCCGTGTGCCTCTGCCCCTGCCTGGATCACCTCCTCTAGAGACCCTCCGCAGGCCCTGCCCTCCTGAGCACCTGCACTAGGTCAGCCCACCACCTCTGACCCTCCAAGTTACACCAACCCCTGCTCTGAATTTTTTCCATAATCATATACCCCTCTCTGGGAGGCTGACTCAGGAGGATTGCAAATTTGAGCCCAGCCTGGGCAGTTTAGCGAGCCTGTTTCAAAAAGGGTTCAGGATGTAGCTTAGTATGAAGGCCCCAGGATCAATCCCCAGTACCACACACACACACACACACACACACACACACACACACGTGTGATGTTGCATAAAAACTATGCAGGCCTCTCGTGTAGTTTTTTGCTTTGTTTTGGGTACCAGGAATCAAACTCAGGGCCTTGTGTTGTGTTTGTGAGGCTGGCACGGTGCCGGTGCCACTGAGCTAAATCCCCGGACCCTTGTTTTGTTTTGAGACAGGGTCTCACTATGTAGCCCAGGCTGGCCTCTTCAAACTCTAGTGATCCTTCTGCCTCAGCCTCCTGAATGCTGGGATTACGGGCATGTGCCACCATGCCTGGCTATTCTCATATACTTTTTGGTTTTTTGGTACTGGGGATTGAACTCGGGACCTTGTGCTTATGAGGCAGGTGGCAGAACCACTGAGCTAAATCCCCAGCTCTCTCATATACTTTTAAATCAACTCTAAATTACTTACAATGCTTTACACAATGTAAATGCTATGTAAGCTGTTGTTACACTGTATTATTTAGAGAAAAATGACAAAAAGTCTGTACATGTTCGGTACAGCCATGACCTTTTTTGGAGAAAAAATAGGGTTTTACTGTATAGCGCAGGCTAGCCTGGAACTTGCTAGTAGCTCAATCTGGCCTCAAACTTGCAATTTTCCTGCTTTGAGGTTGTGTAATTTCTTCCTGGAATATTTCTGGTCCACCCTTGGTTGACCCCACAGATACGGAGCCCTCAGATACAGGGCGGCCGTACTTATTCTACCCGTGCCTGCTGTTGACAGGGCCTGAGAAGTGGCTCCGGTGCGGGAGGTAAGGGTTTGAGCATGCAGGGGGTGAAGTCCCCCGAGGACCCAGGCTGGGAGGGGCCCCAGGCCGAGTGTGGAAATGCTCCGGGGACCAAGTGCCGGAACCCGGACTGCTTACAGCCAAACAGAGCCCTTTCTGGCTCTGTGACACACGCTCCTGGGAACCCATTTCTGTTTTCTCTTCCTGCCCCCTTTGGAGTCTGTGCCCCCCTGGCCCCTCTCCTCACCCCACCCATCTTCTGACTGAGCTTCTCGGGAATGCACAGCCTGCGTGGGGGTGGGGACAGGGACGGAGGTGACTCATGGCTCCTCTCCCATCAGCTATATAAGGTCACAGGGTGGAGAGGGGGAGCCGGCGAGGCCCAGGCCCTGGGCTCCATGGCAGGGCTGGGCTTTCCCTCCTGCTGGCAGGGAGAAGTCTGAGGGAATAAACGAGTTATTTAGGAAGACTGGCAGGGATGGATAGCAGGGTTCTCCTCTCAGGCCCGGTGGATCAGGACAGAGACGGGTCAGGGTACCCAAGTCCCGGGTGAGCGCGATGGCCCGAGGGGGCAGAGGCAGAGGGCCGGCCCTGGGGAGCCCTGGCCTCCGCCCCACCCCCAGCCCAGGGCGACTTCCTCACGCGCTCACCACATCCTGAGCAGTCCTGCCAGGCCCAGGCCCGAGTCCCACCAGCCTTCCGGCCCCGGCCCCATGCTTCCTGTTTGGGCGATCTGCTTCCGGCCCCTGCCCCGACCCAGGTATGGCCCCCTCGAGGGTCCTCAGCTGCCCGGGCCAGGGGGCCTCCCTGGCGAGGCTCTGCCCCAGAGCACTACTGGAGGTGACTTCCGCACACCTCCCCCGGGAGCCCCTCCCGACCCCTCCTTCACACCGGCCCGGCCCCTGGGGCTTGGCGTGGACTCCTGGGCTCCCAGGGCAGGAGCTGAAGCTTCCGTGAGGGTGAACTGAGGACTCAACCCACATTTTCAGGCCCTGTGGTTTCCACCTGATGCTGAGGACACAAAAACCGAATGAGAGCTTGGACACGAGGGGAGAAGGGCGGGCTCCAGGGCCCCGGGCTGACTGACGGCGCGTGGGGGGGCCGCCCTGGCTGTTCAGGTCTAACCTCTGCCCCTCTGGGAAGTCCCGACGCCATCCCGTCCCCGCTCCCCGCCTTCTATTTTCTACCCCAGGAGAAGGGAGAGGCCAGGGCTGCGGGGAGAGAGGGGAAAACCGACGGCGGAGCCCGCAGGAGAAGCCCAGGGAAGAGGCACAGGGGAGCGGGCGGGGATGTGGGAGAGAAGGCTCTTCCTGCCCCAAGGCAAGGGAGCGCTGCGTGAGGCAGCAGTGGCCCAGCTGGGGTGTGCAGCCCCAAGGTCACCCGCGTCAAGCGGCTCCTGGCTCCGTGCGCCTCTCCCTCGGGGGACTCGGGGTTCCGAGCCTTCTGTCCCCGTCTGTCCCGCGCCCTCCTCCGCCGGGCCCTCTCGGAGCTGGGAGGACCCCATCCAGAGCTCCCGCCCCGCCTCCGGGCGCTAGGCCTCCAGCCGCCTCTGCCCCTCCCTCGGCCGCCCTCCTGCTCCGAGGCTGGGCTGTCACCGAGCATCTCTCTAGACTCCAGGTCAGCGGAGAGCTGGGCGGGGAGTCCAGGGCAAGGACAGCGGCTCAGGCACACCCAGACCGGCCGCGGGTGGCACCCAAAGTAAGGGTGTGCGTGCAGGGGGGTGGCAGAGCAGAAGAGCACAGCGGTGTAAAAAGCAAGAAAGGCGAGTGCAGAAAGAGCAGACAGGCGCCGCTCCAAGAGCGTGGCTTGGTTGCCACCCTACCTGTTTGTGGTGTCTCTCGGGGGACCCCTTGGCAAGGCAGCTGCGGCTTAGGCGGAGGTAGCCCCCCAGAACCAAGATCTCCTCGGCAGTCGGGTACCGCTTCTTCCCAGACCCGGGTACTGCAGTGTCACCCGGGGCCGGGGCCGGGGCCGGGCTTGCGGGGGGCGCGGAGCGGCGGGGGTTGACCGTGAAGGTGTGTCCGCTGCGGCGGGGGGCGCCCACCCCCGGCCCTGCCTTCACCCCGTAGAACAGACGGCTCATGAGGGGATCCCCGGAGGGCTGCGAGGCGGGGGCTGGGGCTGGGGGCTGCAGCGATGCTGCTTCCTCTTCCTGTGGCGGCCCCGAGCCTGCTCCGGGCCCAGCGTCCTCTGGTGGCAGCGGGGGGTGCACAGAGCCTCGCCCCTGCTCCTCCGGGGCTCCCAGAGGCCTGCTCCGGGCCCCAGCCTCCGCCTCGGCCCCCCCTTCCCCAGCTTCCACAGCACGGGGGTCCAGGCGCTTCTCAGTGGACCCCGGAGGTTCCGGTTTTGGACTGGGAGTCTCTATGTCCCTGGCTGTCCATTCTTGAGCCTTGCCAGAGTTCAGCGTCCACTTCCACCCTTCGGTGGACCCCAGGCCCCTCTCCCCGTCCTCCACGGGGTCGGGCCTCTGCTCTACTCTTTCCGCACCTCTGGAGGTGTTCTGAGGGTCCCTGCTCGGGGCTTCTGGGGCCCCCGCAGTCTGCGGAGCCATCCACGGGGCCGGGCTGTCCGCTTCCCTCCCACATTCCTCCTCGAAGTCTTCTCTCTCTTCTGAGCTCAGCCTCCACTCCGCTGCCTCCACTGGCGCTGTACGCTGCTCCGGAGCCTCTCTGGGCTCAGGCCTCCACTTGTGGGCCTCTGCTCGTGCAGGGCCCCCCGGGCTCAGTCTGCTGTCCAGCGCCTCTCTCCTCCTGCGACTCTGCTCTCCAGGTTCCGCTAGGCTGGGGCTCCGCTCCTGAGTGTCCTCGGGGCTCAGCTTCCACCTCCGAGCCTCCGGCAGCCTGGTGCTCCAGTCCCCTCCCTCTCCCTCTCCGCGGCTCTGCCTCCAGTCTCTGGCCTCCAGAGGCTTGGGCGTGCTCTCTAGGGCCGGCCCTGGCTCCAGTCTCTCTTCTCCAGCCTCCCTTCCCTTGGGGCTCTGACCCCGGGGCTCCCCAGGGCTGGGTCTCCGTTCTCGGGCCTCTGGAGGCCCGGGTTTCCTCTCGGCAAGGAGCTCTTCATTCCGCTGCTGCTGCTGCCTCTGCCGCTCCTGCCGGATGAATCGGTTCTGGTGCACCGGGCCGATGGCCTCCAGCAGGACGGCAGGCTCATCAGGGTCCGCCGGCCCCGGCTCCGCGATCCCAGGCCCCGGGCTCGGGTCTCCAGGGGCCTGGCCGAGCTTGGCGCGGCGCCGCTCCAGGAGGCCCCGCTTCCAGGCCGGCATCTGGGACAGGCGCTCCTGCTCCGCCTGCCCCCGGCCTCGTACGGACGCCTCCTCGAGCCGGCGCCGGGCGAGCAGCTGCAGCTTCCAGTCCGGGACGGTGGCCATGGCGCCGGGGCAGCTGGGGGGCTCGGGGAAAGGGAACCGAGAGCGTAGGGGAACTCGGGGAGCCCGGGGGTGGGCCTGGCGGAGAGGAAGAGTCGAGATTGGGGCGGAGGCGGCACCCAGAGCGCAGCAGGCGGAGGGCGCGGTCTGGCTGATGCCTCTGGGCGCCCCCGCCCGGCCCCGGCACCGAGGGGCCACAGCCTCCCGCACCCCAGTCCTGGACCAACTCACGCAGGGTCTGGTAGGGAGGAAGGAGGAGGAGCGGCCGGGCGGGGAGGCGACCGCTTTGTGGAGGACAATGGGGCGGGAGGGGCGGGGCCTCGCTCCCTCCGCGTGGACGGTGCCCGCCAGCCCGGCCCAAGTCGCCGGCCTCCCGAGTGGTCCCGGCCCGGCCTGTGTCACCGCGGGCCGGGCTGCAGAGCGGCAGGACCCGGGACCTGGGCAGCGGGTCGGGCCGCCCGGGGGAGGGGCGGGCGCGGCTGGGCAGCCCGCAGCGAGACAGCGACCACTGCGAGCCACGTGTGGAAATCCAGGCTGAATTTTATTTCCCTGCAGCGGAAGTCGCTCGGGGACCCCTCCGTTGAGCGGCTGGGGTACGCTGCACCAGGCCGACTGGCAGGGCTCTGGCCCAGCTGCCGGGCAGGAAACAAAGTAAAGGGGTCCCTGAGGCTCAGAGGAGGGGAGGGGTCCACGCCCTCAACTGCGACGAGTTGACTGATGTTCACCCCTCCTGCTGGTGAGAAGTGGAGCTGAGGCTAGCGCCGGACTCAGGCAATGAAATCTCAAGCGGCCCCTGGATTTGGGCAGCTGCCCTGAAGCAGCCCGTGCCTGGATGTTAAGGGAGTGGACATTTTTTTTAAAGCCAGGGTCCTGCTATGCAGCCCAGGCTGGCCTCAAACCAGCGGCAATCTTTCTGTCTCAGCCTCCAGAGAGCTGGGATTACAGACGTGCAGTGCGCCACCAAACCCGAAAAGGTGCTTGGAATTTGAGAAGGGAGAGTACAGGGCTTGGAATCAGGCTTCGCTCCTCACTCTGCTGCCTCATCCTGGGGCCGGGAGAGGAGGTGGAGTTTTCTCTGTAGCTGAGCCCGGAGGTAGCGGAGGTCCTGCTGGTCCAGCCCATGGGCCAGGCCCAGGTACAGAGTGAGGAAGAGCGCGAGGAGGAGCCGGTCAGCGCCCAGGGTGGGCACCACCCACAGCACAGTGAGCAGCTCCACGCACACCGGGTGGCGCAGGTGGGAGAAAAGCCGAAGAGCTCGAGGAGACTTCAGGGCCAGCGGCTCCCCCAGCCCCAGTACGTGGTAGTACACCTAGGAGGGGGAGGGAGCGTGGGCCCGAGCCTCCCCCACCCGGCGGCCTCTCCTCCCTGGGTGCTGCTCTCTGCAGTCAGACCCAGGAACCTTTGCCAGGCCCTGGAGACCCCGGATGCTGGCCTCTGAGGGAAGCTGAAGGGAGATCCCCGTGTGAGAAAGGCCACGAGGGAGCGGAAAGCCCTGGAGGAGGAAGGCGGGGGAAGAGGAGGAACCCCGTGGAACAATTCCGGACACAAGGCTTGGGCAGGGGTCTGGAGCCTCACCTGTTTGAGGCCCATGAGTTCAGCATAGTCAAAGACGAGAAGGATGCTGAAGATGAGGAGCCAGGAAATGATGTGGAGGACAAAGCAAAGCAGTGGCACCCACGTGGCCCAGGGTTCAGTCCGAGCCTCCCATAGCGCAGGCGCGCTGGGCACGGCCTCCCAGTTCTGCATCACCAGCTGGGGAAGAGAAGGGCCAGCGTCCCGGCAGCCCACCCTGGAGGCCGGACCCCTGCATCCTACAGCACAGAGGCCGCGGGAGGCCCGGGCAGGGGGCGAGCTGCTCCGGGATCTGCAGGATGGACGGTGCCGCCGAGGGGCCCTCCCCACACCTAGGGAGGTGGTCTATGAAGGGCAAGAGTGAAAGGCAGTTGGAAGGGTATCTGGAGGGGGACAGCGTAAACAAAGCTGCGGAGGTGCAGATGCACAGTAGGTAGCTGGGGCATGACAAGTACTTCCCGAGACAGAGGCTCCCTGTCTCCGGGCTGGCCTTGAACTTGCTACATGGCCCAGGCCAGGCCGGCCTCGGACTCGACCCCTCTGCCTCAGCCTTCTAAGTGCTGGGATTACAGGCACATGCATGTGTGCCCTACTCGATGAGAAGTAGGCTGTGTACGTGGAGGAATGGAAGCTGAGATTCATGCCCTCAGTTCCCCTCATTCCCCATATTGTGCCCCTCCAACCTGGCGTGTCCCTCCCAAGACTGTCTTCCTCGGTCTCTCTCGGCACCCGGGCCTCATACCTGCAGGGCCAGGGCAGTGCACGCCACATACACGGACCTCTGGAGGACCCCGAAGTGCCGGGACGTCCACGCCTTCACGGCCTCGGTCGCCATGAGGCTGTGCTGTCCAACAAACAGCAGGAGGAGGCCCAGATCCCAGGCCAGGGAGGCCAGGACAGTGCGGTCCTGCAGGGCGGCGAGCCACCCCTGGCGGGGACCTGGCAGTACAGGGGCAAAGCGGCCAGGTCAGGAGGGGCCCAAGCTTTCCGGAGCCCCCGCCTCCCCTCCGGACCGTGCGACGCCCACGCCTCCGTTCCCGTCTGGTCCCCAGGCCCCGGACACAGAGGAACCGGAGTGGGACAGCCACAGTGGGGGCAGCCGGCGAGGCGCCCCGGGGCGCCCTCCACAGCGCCCCAGGGACGTGTGTGCCCGGCGGCTCCTCCCGGGCCTCACCCGCTGCCCTGGTAGCCGATGTCCTCCCGCCCCGCGCTCACCCGGGCCGCCGGCGGGCGGGGCCCCTCCGAGCAGCGGCCGCAGGGAGGCGAAGCGCACGAACTCCACTCCGGTGCCGAAGGCCAGCACGAAGCAGGCGAGGCCGGCGGGGACCAGCAGCAGCGCGGGGGCCATAGCGCGGGCGGCCCGGTTCCCGCCACCACCGCAGGCCCCGCCCAGGTCTCCCCGCAGGCCCCGCCCCGCCCGAGAGGCGGGGTGGCTCCGACACCCGGGCTTCCGGGCACGCCTGGACCGGCTGGGGCTCGGGGCAGCGCTGTGGCTGTGCCGTCGCTGCGGGCCGGGGTCCCACGGAGGCCGCTGTCGGCTCTCTTGCCATGAAACGGAACTTAGTTTTAGTGTGGGAAACCACCGAAGTGGAGGCTGCAGAATGCACCGTCGAATCGTCGGAGAAGGGACTTGGACCGCTGAAAACCCAGCTTTGACTCATGCACAAAATCGGGGGGCGGGGGGGCGGGTCCGGGGACTTAGCTCAGTGGTTCTGCCTCCTGCCGCGCAAGGTCCTGAGTTCGATCCCCGGTACCAAAACCAAAAATAAAGTGTTTGAGACAGCATCTCGGTTTGTAGCCAAGGCTGGCCTTGAACTCACAATGCCCTTCTTGTCTCAGCCTCCTGAGTGCTGGGACCACCCCTGGCCGGCAGTTGTTAGGTTTTGTTGTTTTTGTTTTGGGGGGGACCCGGGATTAAATTCAGGACCTTGCGCTTTCGAGGCAGGCAGCGGAACCACTGAGCTAAATCCCTGCCTGGTCTGTTAGGTATTTTTAAATGACTTTTTAAAACACAAAATAAATTCTTTTTTTTTTTTGGTACTGGGGATCGAACTCGGGACCTTGGCTTGTGAGGCAGGCGCTGGAACTACTGAGCTAAATCCCCGGCCAAATTCTTGTTCTTTAACTCACTGTAAAGTTGAGTTGTTACTGCTCCACTTGCCAAGACAGGCAAAGAGCTTCCCTGAAAGGTTTTGTTTTTTGTTTTTGGTACCTGGGCTCAAACTCGGGTTCTTGTGCTTGCGCAGCAGGCGGCAAAACCACTGAGCTAAATCCCCGGCCCCCTGAAAGGTTTTTAATTGTACCAAAAATCCAGGGCCTTGGGCACGCTAGGCAAGCGCTCTACCACTGAGCCACGCTGCCAGTCCCTAATAGTGTGGAAGATTTGTTGATTTACAACGAGGATAGAAAAGCTATATTAAGCTATATTAAAATATTTGTGGTTGTGCAAGCGCAAGGACCCGAGTTTGATCCCTGGTACACAAAAAAAATATTTGTGGTAGAATACCATTTATTATTGTTGCAAATTTATTAATTTTATCCCAACTCTGGTAGCTATGACTACAAGCTCCTAAAAGTGACTCCACTCATTAGTCAAAACCCAGAGGTTCATCCTAACAACCCCTGAGTCCTGCTTGTGACCCTCACAGTCACTAACGTGCAGATAGAAAAAGCCTAGGCTCAGGGAGGGAAAGAAAGTGGCCCCAGAACCTGAGACAGGCTGCCCCTGCAGGCCAGGGATGAGGAGCGGTTGGGTGGCCTGCTCCTCCTCCACTCCCCCTCAGTGGGCCGAGGCCAAGCCTGGTCCCACCAACCCCCTGGAGCAGAGCCAGAGCAGAGGCCCCGGCAGGCCCGTGTGTACCACCGCAGGCTCAGACTGCTCCTTGTGAGTTCCATACTGTCTGCCTTCTTCATACTTAGCACTTCATCAAGCTCTTCTGAATTATCCTGTGCTGTCCACCTCCTGCTTGGACAGTAACCCATAGAGGTCTTTATTACACAAAGCAAGGCGACAAGCTGTGACACTTATGCAAGTGTAAAATCCTCTCGTACTGGGAATTAAACCCAAAGCCTTTACGCTGAGCTACATCCCCAGCCCATTTTAAAAAAAGTATTCTGAGGCAGGGTCTTGATGAGTCACTAAGCTGCCCAGGCTGGGCTTGAACTCACAGTGATCCTCCTGCCTCAGCCTCCCAAGTGCTGGGATTACAGGTGTGTGCCACCATGGCTGGCTACATTTAACTTTTTAAGGAATTTTCAAACTGTTTACCACAGATGCCAAACCATTTTATAGTCCTACCAGCAACATATAAGGATTCCAATTTCTCCATATTGTTGTAAATGGCCAACTTTTAAATATTCAAATTTGAGAAATATATATTTACCCTAAATAGAAAATAATGAATTAAAAACAAGGATACATGGCTGGGGATTTAGCTCAGTGGTTCTACTGCCTGCCTCAAAAGCACAAGGTCCTGAGTTCAATCCCCAGTACCCCCCAAAATTTTAAAAATAAAAACAAGGGTGCCGGGGATTTAGCTCAGTGATTTTGATGCCTGCTGTGCAAGGGCAAGGAACCGAGTTCGATCTCTGGTACCAAAAAAAAAAAAAAGAGTTAGAAAAGTTATTATTAGGGCCGGGGATTTAGCTCAGTGGTTCCGGCGCCTGCCCCGAAAGCGCAAGGTCCCGAGTTTGGTCCCTGGTACC